TATCACACCTCAAACTGCAAAAGTTGCAGCCACAGTGCATGATGAAAAGTTAAGATGGAAAAGGCACGAAATTTGTGGGTGGAAGACATGAGCAGAAAACATGTTACAGTTGTCAGCAACATGGTGCACCAGAAAGCATTGAGCCTGTGTAAAGACTTCAGCAAGGGGCCTCTGAAATGAGTCACTACATTCGCACAACTTTTATTGCAGCATATTGTTAAAATTGTTCTGTTTTATTATTAGTTATTGTTAATTGCTTACTGTGCCAAAATTATAAATTAAACTTTATCATAAGTATGTATGTATAGGAAAAAAACAGTGTACATAGGATTCAATATTATTCACAGATTCAGGCATCCACTGGGGGTCCTGGAATGTATCACCCACTTATAAGAGGCGACTACTGTATTTAAATTCAAAAAAGTTTTAATGTTTTATAAGACTGTTATTTGTATAATGTGAACAAATATCTTTTAAAATGTGCATGTTGTTAAACATACTCAGAATATGTTTTTTTAGCAGGGATGTCAGAAAGACTAATGCTATTTTTTTCTCAGTGCATCATCTCAAGTGGTGCACAATTTCAGTTTGTCCCATTACTGGTAGTCACTTGATGAAGGTGATATCTACCATGTTTCTTCGCTGTAGAGTTCTTATTCCATTTGTAATTAACAAGTATGTTGTAAATACATAAACATCTTATTCCTCATCAAGAAGTGGCCCACTAGTTTTAACACCCATTGATAATTCTTGCCTGAATCATTACTGATTAATGGTTGCCATGTGGTGATTTTTTTTATTTTATTCTTTCTACATTTATTAGTTAGCATTGTTTTATAAGGAAAAGTTTTCTCTCATTTATATCAGTGTGAACTCATGGATTCTTTTTTATTGAATGGGTTATATTGTCTTACTATGGTTATCAGTTATGAGGCTCAGATTTGGGAGCCCCTTCAATCTAGCTTTTGAATCCTTTTGACGTGTCCCTCCCATTATTCTTTGAGCCCTGTCTTTCTGGCACATAGTATTCCAGTTTCATACTTTCCCTTCTTTAACCTTGGAATTGGCTATTTCTCAAAGTACCTAGGTCCTTTCAGTAGACAGAGGAGTATTTAGAAGCCAAGATCTGGCAGTACACTTATTGCTATAAGGATTTGCCACACCTAGGCACCCTCTCAATAGACCAGAGGTGGGGGATTTGTAGGCACAAACACATTTACATCTGTATATATATATTTTTTAATCATGAGTTCACACCAAATACCTCCAGTTTTAATCCAATACCACAGGTTAATTCTAGTTTCCTCCCTTTCCTTATTCCTGACTCCCTTCATTATCAGTGAAGAAACATTGCCCCAGTTATGCTCAATTTATTTGCTTATTGGATCAAACTCCTCCTTTCCCCTCATATCCTTACCTATTCAGGATGCTCGAGTTCCTACTAAGCAAATGCTCCTGTCTCCACCTAACTCACCCCTGTCCCCCAGCACAAATACTTGCCTTGTTTAGCCCATCCGCTGGCCTTTGGACTGAATATTTCAGGAGGAAGGCAGANTTAAAGTACTCAAAATAGTCTAAACCTTTTGAAAACATGGCAGACAGCATTTACAGAGTGTTAAAACATTCTTCTTTGGAAGAGATTTGCAGATCCATTTGGACAGGGTCAAAAATAATGTCCATTAGGTTGTGTTGGGGTTTTTTTGTTTTGTTTTTTTCAATGACTTTCTTTGTATATGGTGGTCACATAGTACATGTCTTCATTTTCTTTATATAAAATTTGAGTTTTAATGATTTAATTGGGTTTTGATTTTATTCAGAACTTTTCAGTTGGTAATCAAGTACAATTTCAAATTATTGGTGCAGTCTTTGTGTTCATGGTATTTTTCTTTAATACACACGATCTGATTATTTGGCTTGGGGCATTTTTGTTTTATTTTTGCTTTTGTTTTGGCAGGTATCTGAAACTTTACTTGTGCAGACTCCAGCTGTGCCTCCTGGCCCATGCCTTCCTCCCAGATTACAGGGTAGACCCAAAGCAAAAGAAATACAATTACGATGGGGTAATTTCCATTTTGGTAATAAATTATAATTAAGTTAGTACTAAATATAGTCTCCTTGTTAAGTTGCATAAATCTTTTCACCTTTAGGACCCCCTCTGGTCGATGGTGGAACACCCATTTCCTGCTATGGTGTGGAAATGTCTCCTATAGAAAAAGATGAACCCAGAGAAGTTTACCAAGGTTCTGAAGTAGAATGTACAGTGAACAACCTTCTTCCTGGAAAGACTTATAGCTTCAGACTGCGCGCAGCTAACAAAATGGGGGTAGGGAGACCATGCTGACTGAATTGTAATCACTGTGGTGTTTTATGGAACATACATAATTGCACTCATTATTTCGCCATTTGGCTTTCAACATGTGATTCCATATTTTACCATTTTTAATAACCCTATATTGATAAATAAGAGAAAGGTCAGTATATACCATAACATAATTATTATAGAATCTCAGTATTTTTCAATTCCTACTTATAATTAGTGATACTTTAGACTTGACCTAGGCTAAAGTTTGCCTTTCAGGTGGTGCTAATAGGATTTACTAGTAAATTCCAGAGTAGAAACAAGATCATAAGATGAAATACATCATCTTGTCATCCCTACAGGGCTGTAATACATTGTGATTGCATCTTTAATACTACTGTCCTTAATCTATGTTTCCAGGTTTCTGATAATTTTATCTAAATTATCTTAAGTGAATATCCGCTTTTTATATTTCCAGAGAAGGAAATATACATTTTAGACCTTTCTAAAATTACTCTAAATTTGAAGATACAATTTATGCCTACCATCTCCCATGCTTTTCTCACATCATTTCTTCTGATTGATTCCACCTACCTAATTCCCTAATGTCCCTCCCTTCTCACAAAAACCAGTTCATAAAGGAATAAGGGACAGGAAAAGAAAGCACAGTAAATGAAACTTTATTAAAAATACCCCACATATTCACTTCCATGATGATTAAATCTTTTTAGTTTCTGTGAATGCTTTTAAAAGTATTATGACCAATTAGTCTTAGAGTAGAGGAATGATGCACTTAATTATTTGTGAATTTTTATGGAGCTATGCAGTCAGTAGGTGAAAAATGAAAACACTTTATATTTGTTTTTCTAGTTTGGACCATTTTCAGAAAAATGTGATATTACTACAGCCCCTGGCCCACCAGATCAATGCAAGCCCCCTCAAGTGACATGCAGATCTGCAACTTGTGCTCAAGTGAATTGGGAGGTACTGTAATTTCCACTGACTTACATTTATTTTCTTAAGCTGTTAGAATAGTTTACATAAAAGAATAAAGATACTATTCATATTCTCTCCTAAGTTATACAAAGAGTAAGTCTAGTTAAGTTCACATGGTAAAAAATGAGTTCTTTTTTTCTCCCTGAAGCATTTCAGTAAGGTATAGTTGCATTACAAGTACTTAGATTCTTGTTTGTGATGTGCTTTGTATTTTATCAAGGGCTTTGTCTCAGTACTGAGGTAGTTAGCCACTGGTGAGCTTAACTAACATTTAGAACAAACATTCTTAGGAATTAGTATAATACTATTTCTCAAATTTATTATCTCCAGTGTATTTATTGTGTATAGTAATCATCAGTAATGATAATTACATTTTTAGTTTCCTTTGAAATTTAACAAAGAAAATGTCCTTGTATGATTAAACATTTTATATTACTTAATAGAATTATTTAGAAGTATATTTACCTTAAAATACTCTTTCTAAAGTAATTCAGTCATATTTCTACTTCTAATTGAAAACAAAGTTATTTTTTTTAATCAATCTTAAATTCAGGTGGCCTTAATGAATAAAAATACAATATTGAACAGTTTTAATTCTGCTTAAACTTTTAAAAGAAATTCAAAAGCAATCCAGTTTTTTATATGGTTGGGTAAAGAACATTTTTGCCCAAAAGCTATTTAATCATTGTCAAAACTTAAGACCTTCATCCTTTTCTTAATTTAAAGGTCCCTTTGAGTAACGGAACTGATGTCACTGAGTATCGATTAGAGTGGGGAGGAGTTGAAGGAAGCATGCAGATATGTTATTGTGGGCCTGGTCTCAGTTATGAATTAAAAGGACTTTCACCAGCAACTACCTATTATTGCAGAGTCCAGGTAAGGCACTTACTCTATCTGGCGCTTTGTGGACATTTTCATGTCATGTCTTTGTTAATTATGGGCTCTGTTAATTTGTAGGCTCTGAGTATTGTGGGTGCAGGTCCTTTCAGTGAAGTAGTAGCCTATGTGACTCCACCTTCAGTTCCTGCTGTTGTGACTTGTCTTCAAGAAATAAGTGATGATGATATAGAAAATCCCCATTATTCACCTTCTACATGCCTTGCAATAAGCTGGGAAAAGCCTTGTGACCACGGTTCAGAAATCCTTGCCTACAGCATAGACTTTGGAGACAAACAGCCCTTGACTGTAGGAAAAGTTACAAACTATATTATAGACAATTTACAACCAGATACAACATACAGGTACACTATAAAAACTATGTTAATTTTTGCCTAGCTAGACCAGAGACACTTTAAATAGAACATAAACTAAACACTTTATTTTTATTTTTAATGTGACATTTAGAATACGAATTCAAGCCTTGAATAGCCTTGGAGCTGGTCCTTTCAGCCACATGATAAAATTAAAAACTAAGCCCCTCCCTCCCGATCCACCTCGTCTGGAATGTGTTGCCTTCAGCCACCAGAACCTTAAGTTGAAATGGGGAGAAGGAACCCCAAAGACATTGTCAACAGATTCTGTCCAGTACCACCTTCAGATGGAGGATAAGAATGGAAGGTAGGTGTTTTTAATTGCTTCTTTGTGTAGTTTCTTAGGTCTTAAATAAATTTTTATAAACAATNCAGGATGGCTCAGCTAAAAAAAAATATATATATACATATATATATGTATGTATATATATAAAATACCTAGATATGAATTATATTTATCTATTGCTGCCCAACTTAGTAGCTTGAAAAAAATGAACATTTATTATCTCACAGTTCCTGTGAGTCAGGAATTGAGGACCAGCTTAGCTGGGTGGTTCTGATTCAGGGTTTCTATGAGGTTGCTCTCAAGTTGTCCACTGGGATTGCAGTCACCTGAAGGCTTGATCAGGGCTGGAGTACTTGCTTCCAAGTTCACTCAAGTGGTTGTTGTTCAGGAGCCCTCAGTTCCTCGCTGACTGTTGGTCCCTAGAGGCTTCAGTTCTTCACCACGTAAGCTTTTCCATAGGAAAGCTATACACACCATCATATCTGCTACATTTTGTTTGTTAGAAGTAAGTCATTAAGTACAATTGAAAGGGAAGAGGAATGAGCCTTTGTCTTTTGAAGAAAGGATATTTAAAGAATTTGTGGGCATCTTGTTAAATACCTGAAGAAGACTGAAAGAATAAGTGAAACAAACCTAAAGCCATTAGAATGTATCATGAGATTATGGCTTGTTCCTGTGCTCACTCTTGTTTAGTATCAGAATGTTAGACTTACACTTGTAATCCCAGGACTGACTCTAAAAAGAGATTGATTATAGCTGAATACTCTTCATGTGTGCTGAGTCCCTATTGAAGAGAATCAGTTCTCACATAAATAAACCATCACAGTATAAAAACTTTTATCATTTGAGTCTTTATGTCTGTCATCACTTTATTCATTAAGTCAATATTATTAGGTATCAAACATTCATTATTTTATGTTTTTGTGTTTTGTCATAGGTTATTGCTTACAACTCAGAAGGTAAAAGTAACCCAAGTGAAATAGTAGAATTCACTACATGCCCTGATAAACCAGGAGTACCTATAAAGCCTTCAGTTAAAGGAAAGATACATTCACACAGTTTTAAAATAACTTGGGGTAAGGTATTATGCATATTTGTACATTATTACTTTTATACTTGACTAAAATGATTTGAATATTAAGATAATTTTTAAGACATTTGAGTAAATGTGTTAGGCTCGAGCAAGTTCAGTAGGAAATGTGAGAGTCATTGTTTGAAGATCTTTTTATGGAAAGCTATGGGACTCCACAATTAGCAGCAGCAGCACTGTGTGAAATGAAAGATTACTGAACTTGTAGCTGATGTCACCTGGGTCATCCTGGCTTTCATTAGAAATGAAAATCACTCATTTAAAACAAACATTTATTATCTGCTTATATACTACTTAATGCAAAAACAATAGAATAATGAGATCCTGAATATTAATAAAAACGCATCGCAAGTGGTTCTTTTTTCTTTTTAAGCAACCCTAGGTTTAGTTCTGTTTGTTAGGATTTTCTGTCATTTTAAATTGCGTGTATTTTGCCTAACACCACTTTTGCTTCTTTGGATAGACCCACCAAAAGACAATGGAGGGGCAGCTATCAATAAATACGTAGTGGAGATGGCAGAAGGTTCTAATGGTAAAAAAAACTGTTACAAAATAATAGATGTATACCAGTCAGTCTGCCTCTGCTTTTTATGACTTTACATTTTCTATGATCTCCTTTCTCCTTGATTTTTTCCCTTTGTTTGTAGCAGTTAGGATTTTGCCTATGACCCACTTTAAGTTGTAATCTCCAGAAATATAGCGGATCAAGTGTAAGACTGCTGTAAACCTATATTATTACATTTACATTTTCTTATTTTTTTCCTTGTTTGTTTGCATTGCTCAGTTTCAGTATACCTAAAGTCTTCTGAAGGTTAGTTTATTTAGTTAGATTTATACCCAGATGTATCAGAGAAGAATTATCTTCTAAAACATATTTAACTTACATTATACTAGTTTTAGTAATAAATTCTATGCCTAGCAAACTTAATTCTTGAATGACACATTTATCAATCTTTATTTCTGTGAAATGACCTATTGCCTGCATAAAATAAGGATGTCTTTTAATTAAGACTAAACTTCCTAAGGTATTAGTTCTTTCTTTTCTGTGTGTTATAATGTTATTACTGGACCAGTAAACACATTTAAAATGCTTAATTAAAAGCAAATTATCAGTCTTAGCCAAAGTCTGTACAGAGTTACAGAGATATTTCCCTTCAACAAAGCCATGCAAAATTTGTCTAGGAAGCTGCACACAAAGAAAATTAGATCATTTCCAGGAAACTCGAAACAAGCTTAAATTGTTTCTGACAAATTACATAAACACTTATTTAGTGAAGCTAGGATACCTGCCGTGTCTATGATACCAAAACGTTAAACATTACCTTGTAGCTGATTGAACATAATTCTTCACCTTACAGGAAACAAATGGGATATGATATACAGTGGAGCTACTAGGGAACATCTTTGTGATCGACTGAATCCAGGCTGTTTCTATCGTTTAAGAGTTTACTGCATCAGTGATGGAGGACAGAGTGCGGTAATACTTACACAGAGATTTTTTTTTCAAGTTTGGTCAAATGAGATGAGATCACCAGATGCCACTTCATATATTGAAATGTATTCACAAATGTATAAAAGTAGTATCTGTAACCCAGGTGGTTAATTTTATAGTGACCAGAATATAGTGACCACTTAGCTCACAGCCTATAATCCATGAATACCTGTTTTCTACTTGGTATTGAGCTTTGGAAAAAACAAGTAAATGAAAACATTGCAGAAAATTGTAAAAGATAAATTTAAGGATGATGCTCAATAACCATACCAAATAGAAATAAAATAATTGTAGACTGATTTACTGCTTCATAAATTATGTATATTAGGACAAACTATAAAATATCATTTACTGTTTAAACACAGATTCTCATGTTTACTTATTTCAGAAAAGTTGGCAGTTGATTTTTTAAGTGAATTTAACTAAGAATGGTTTCTTGGGGCTTTCATAATTATTATTTTTCAAGTGGAATTTAATGCAATAAAAGTATTTTTAAAAATG